TCGAGGGCCTCTTGCGATATGTCAGGCCCGCCTTCACTTAGGGCGGGCAATGCTGTAAACAGGGCCCCATAGGCCTACCGAGGACCCTGATCCTCACATTCCCTCCTCCTTTACTTCGTGAGTCCTCTGAGAAGTCTCTTATTCTGCAGGCATCTTCCCCTTGAGTGCTCTTTCGTAGCCTGCAATCACTTGAGGTGCTGTTCTCATGAGTTCTTCTCGTGTGAACCAGCGATCCTCCTTAGGATCCAGATGATGTCTGAAGCTCACATGATACTGCATTGTCTATTAATAGGCTGATCGTAGCTGTGTAGGAGTAGGCTGGGCGCTGAGCGCCAAGTAGGAGTGTGAAGGGACTGCACTCTTGTGTTGTGGCGGAGAGAGAAGCTCTCCTTGACATTGGTTTTCAGTACTACGAACCTCCATTGGTGTATTATTGCCATTTATTGGTGCAATGCTGCTCTATGGACACAGTGTGACTATCTGGCTTTCAATGTGATGGTGTAATCTGGAAATTGTCATCTCGCTGTTGCTTATTTTCCTTGCAATGGTTTATCCTATAAAAGAAGAGGCATATTGGTCACTTGTTGCCATGACCCAACAGCTGGAAAGATTTGTGAATTGCATTGTGCTCTGTCGTTATCGACGAGTGCAATGAACACTGATATTTAACTTGTGAGAAGATGTCCCCAGGTTGGTGCTTTCCAACTGATAGCATGTGATGGCGTTGTTCTCTTCCTGTTCTTTACAGATACAATAAGAACGGTGGAAACTTACTCAGACATCATAGTGCTTCGCCATTTTGAGAGTGGGGCTGCGAAGAGGGCAGCGGCTGTCTCCAGTGTTCCCCTGATCAATGCAGGAGATGGCCCTGGTCAGCACCCCACCCAGGTAAAGAGGAAGAAAGTGACAGAGCAATTCGCCCAAAAGCAATGAATGAAAGGGAAAAAAGAAATCTTTGATGAGGATGTTTGCATCATGCCAACTGTGCCTGCACTCGAGCCATTGAACTGCTGATTTATTTTTCTCTTCCCCTCTCTGTGCCTACCACACCTCTTGCCTCTTGTTCATGTTTTCACTTTAAAATCTTGATGCTCTTACACCGTCATCATCACCGGCAGGCTTTTCTTCCTGAACCTGTCTAGGGACCGGAGACAACACCTTACCCACAGCAGCCTGAAACAAGCGGGGGATGGGAAAAAGGAGTATTTTAGTATCCGTTCATTGGCCCCCGCAACAGTGTGAAAGAATAAATGAAAACTGTCTGTTGCTATTGGTCCACTGGGTCATCCCCAACAAACGAGCTCGGGAACCCGTTTTCAGAATGACGCAAGCGTGGGCTATGTGGAGGGTTGAGGAGGCCGTGTTGAAAATGTCATGCATGTGACTGTGTGAAAATAATCGCTGTAGGGGAGAGGGGGAGCAGCGTGAAAATGGCTGATGCAAGCTCCCCTGCTTAATTTCGTGAGTTGGTGTGCTGTATGGCGATGTTGCTGAGGGCATCTTTTTTGCATTGTTGTCAGGGTATTGATGCATGTCTGATTTGGTCAATTGGTCAATTGGGTTGCATGTGCAACAAAACCAATTTTTTTGTCTGACAGAAGTACACTTGCAACAAAATCAATTGCTCGCTTCCTGTGTTTTCTCTCTCATGTGTGTGTGCATGTGTGTGTGTGTGTGTGTGKGKGGGGRRGGGGGGGGGGGGGGKRGGKGSGGGKGGGKGSGGGKGCGTGCATGCACATTTGATGTGGTTGAACTCAAGGCACTATTGGATGTATATACTATTCAGCGGGAGATAGGGCGTCTGGACAACATCAAGGTTGGTCTGGTGGGAGATCTCGCAAATGGCCGCACAGTGCGGTCGCTGGCTTATCTTCTTTCCAAGTTCGACAATGTTCAAATGTATTTCATCGCACCGGAGGTGGCTAGAATGAAGGTAAGTAATTAGAGTGTGAATTCATCTTTTCGTTAGGTGCTATAAGCTGGTCACCCTTTTCTGAAATTCTGCTATTTTCACTGCCTCTTTGTCTTGCCTTACAGGGTGGTCATTGACGAAAAATGAAGAAAAGCTGAAAAAAAGAAGGGGGAAAATTGAACAAGAGATGGTTCACCGAACAACAATTGAGGAACATGCTGAAGGGTTGCCACTCTCTAGCGGTGAATTTACAAAACATGCAGAAGAGCATTTCCGCAACTCGGATAGATCTTCTTAAAGAAGACTTCTCCTGGAGATCAGGAGACTGGGGCCTACTCAAGACACAGACTCACCTGGAAAAAGCTTTCAGATTCTAAAGAGGTTAACAGCAATCAGTCAAAGAGCTACATTTGTCTCCTTCCCTATAACCACCCACATCAAGTACTGAAAATCCAAAATGTCAACCTCGAGATGGAAATTCTGGAGTTCAGGTCTTGAAGGACAAACTGTCAAACCCCGTTTCATCTTCCGTCCAGACCAGTGCATCTCGGAGATTCAGGTGGCTCCCAGTGAATGGGGTCGAGGTCAGACCACAACTAATGCCGATGTGCCCTTAAACCATGGCAGCGGCGGACAAGTGAACCGGACATGTCCGGACACCAGAAACCGGATTTCCCGGTTTCATCCAAACGTCCGGATTTCCGGTAATTTCCGGTTAATGCGGATCAACTTGTCCGGATCCCTGTCCGGATGGGTGTATATGTCCGGATTAAAAAAAATAAAAAAAAGTGCACATACAAAGCGCCATACGCAAGTACTGCAAATGGATTGAAAACAACGAAAAGGCCATGTGGCACGGGTATGGGAAGGGGGGGGGGGGAGATAGTGTGTACATGACAACAACCAAGACGAGGGGGACGAGGACAAAGACATGGAGGAGGAGCGGGAGGGCAAAGATGTGGACGGGAAGGAGCAGGAGGATGAAGAGGAGGAACATGGCGCCAAAGATCCGAAAAAAAGACACAGAAAAACGGGCGGCACGTGGCATGAGCACGGAAAGGAGTAGGGGAGGTTATAGCAAGTACATGACAATGACCAAGACGAGGAGGAGGAGCAGGAGGAGGATGAAGACGTGGAGGAGGAGGAGGAGGAGGAGGAGGAGAAAGGAGGAAGACCATTATAGCAAAATGACGAGAGAGAGAGAGAGAGAGAGACGCAGAGAGGAGTGAGCCCACTACCAGGCCGCCACGATGCAAGGACGACAAAACTTCCCACAAGCAAAACAAAAAAATTCTGGCCCTACCGGATGCCCCTTCAGGGCCAAAAAAAATGTGCTTGTATTGTTGGCTGGCGGCCCTGGGCGTGACGAAACGCCCTGGACCGCCAAAAACTTTTTTGGCCGATGGCCAAGGGTCTGGAATCTGGACGGGGATCTGGACATGTTCACCGGACATGGGACACCGGATGGTCCGATCCCTGTCCAGAGGTTCGGATCGCTGCTATGCCTAACTAAATGTGGGTACGGCTTAGGTGTTAGACAACTGATCCGAACCCTGAACTAAACAAGAGGTGAAAGTGCATCTTTGAACATAAATGAAGAAACACAGATTCCGTGGAAGAAGTACCTAGCAGGCACCCCAAGACCTGTTAAGATTTAGTCTCCACTTGCTTCTAGCCCCTATGCAGCGGTGGCAGTCAACCAATGGCTCCATGAGAAACGTAAACGCTCCGACCCCAACAGCGCAGACAAATGCGCAATGTGAGGAATGTGTCCTCATGGGGCCCTAGACAACATGCATATATTCTGGTCTGTTGCCCCCAGCAAGCGTCGTGCCCGCCCTAAGTGAAGACTGACCTGAATATACACAAGAGACCCTATTCTCAGCATTTTCCAAAGTGGGTATTAGACAGTCGCTGTACGCCAGTTGGTTGAAGAGCAACCTGGGCCTTGCCCTGGGGTCTTCCTGAAGAAGCAGCTGTGTCAGGCAGTTGAGCCCAGGATGCAGGTGGTTCTGCCCGGGAACATGCAGTGTGAACCCGACACATCACGAAGTGGCTGCAGGCCAATGACAATGCAGCATTATCGGCACACCAACCCCGAGGGCCAATGCAAACACAGCAAACATTAGAAGCCTGGATGATCCCGGGTGTGCCCAACTGAAAAGGCCCCAGACCCTCAACTGTAGACACGGGCCTGGGCGCAGACACTGGGGCCCAAGCAGAAGCTACTGGAAACTTCCACGGCCGGGCCCAGACAGTCCAGCAGCAGCAGTGACTCTCATATAGGGAGGAGGCCAGCCAGTGTTCTGAATTCAGGACTTGGCAGGCAATGGGATATGCTGCTGCACTACAGCACTGGCATCTGCGTTCGCTGCGTGCAACACAGCATAGGCCAATGCCCAAGCTATGCTTGCGTGAGTCTAAAATAGTCTCATCAGCCTTAAAATATCAAGAATGTTGACAGTATCTCCCCTAAACAGGGGTAGATTGCCAAATCCTCAATGGTCCTAAAAATATTCCAGCTGCTCTACATTTCCAAAAATTTCGGCAGCAATTCCCGTAGGGAAAGTGCCTTTGCAGAATTTATATAAGATTGAATATAAAATCTGAAAGCGATTTTCTAACTTAGAAGTCAACTTTTGTCTGATTTTTTGATTTCGTAAAAATTTGGGCAGCATCTCCCTTAAAGAGGTAGACTTCCTATATGTATGCTAACTCAAATATGAACTCAAGATGAAACTTGAATTATGTTAGGAAAGAAATTAACCAACTCTTTAGATTTGTAGAAATTTTGGCAGTCCTTCCCGTAGGAAAAGGTTTTTTTTTTTTTTTTTTTTTTTTTTTTTTTTTTTTTTTTTTTTTTTTTTTTTTTTTTTTAAAAAACGGGGCCCTGTGGTCCCAGCTCCATTGTATTCTGGGGAGCGTCAGTCCGGTTCCTGTTCCACCGGCAAGTCGAGAAATAGTACATCATTGGGACTCACTCACGCTTCCTTCCGTCTGGCCGAAGGACCCCTGGACAGCATTGATTGCTCCATCTTAGCAGAGGATTGACTGCCAGCTTGCCCATCCCCTCTCTTTCCTCTCAGACCGAACATTTAGGTCTGCCAGATGCCATCGTTTAACCTAGAAAAAGTCCCTCTGTTGTCATCGCCTACTTTTCCTTTTGTCTGAGCAACCGCTAAAAACCCTAAACCCTAAAACTTCGTCTTTTTGTAGCAGCTCCGGTATATCATCCTTCCTGCTTCTGGCCCTGTATCTTGTTGCACTCTCCTTCCCGCAGCTACTCGTTTTTTGCAATTGTGTCGTTTGTTGTCCGACCCTTGTCTTCCCATATCCTATCCTTATGTCTACCACCTTTGTATCATTGTGTCCACCGAACACCAACCTCCGTCTTTCCTTTGATTCCATCTTTGTCCATGTTTCCTCACCCTGCTCCTTGTTCAGAAATCCCCCTTGCTCTTATTCTTATCGGTCTGCATCCAGATCCCCATTGTTGTGTGCGTGAAGTAGTGACCCGAGAGCTGAGCTGTCTCAATTAGGATTCTGGCTCTGAAGTTCCATGCTCTGATTCTGTGCTCCGCTGTTCCAGATTCCTTCTTGAAGCAGAGTTGTGCCATTCCTTCCAGCAAATGCGGTCATCCCGTATCTCCGCAATTTTCCCCCTTCCTAACCACGTTTTGATGAACTTGCTTCTAGCCAAAGCTAAATATGAAATCCAAAAAGCTACAAAGCCACAATTTGTCTAACTCTTTGAATTAGTAAAAATTTGGGCAGCATCTCCTTTAGATAAGTGCAAGGAAGATTAGCAATAGCGAACTTCAGAAATCAAACAGCATCATACACATAAGACCAGATAGTCGTGACCTCTAACCAATAGCAGAATTGCATCACGAGTTTCACCAAATAAGAGCACACCAAAAGCTCATAACTGACAATGCTGCAATAGTCTCATCATCATCAACGAAGAACCAATGTTGATATCCTATTTGGCGCTCGACGCCCAGATCCTATCTAGCCTACTCTACGATGTTGTTGATGATGTCAACAACTCCCCGAAGTACAAGCAGATCTCGAATAATGCCGTACGCTTCAAGCACCAGGTATGTCTCTCGTATCACTCACAACCTCGTTCCCCAACTCACAGATGCCTCATGCACCCAAGGACCACCATGTGCCCCATCCAGCATACAGCAGCACAACTCGGCTATGGTTGCCTGCTCCTTCCCGCTCGCCCGTGAGCGCATGAGCCTGGCCAGCGTTAGCGCAGCAGCGCTTGCGCAGCATGCAGCTAGTGCCCGAATGTTCAATGCATGGGCAGGCCCTTCCCTATATTGAAGTGGTCTGCTCCTGCGTGTTGTGCTGCGGTACTGGACCCCGACCCAGAAGCTTCCGGTAGGCCCAGGGAGCCTCAGCCCAAACGAATCAGGCCTAGGGCCACCTACAGTTACCCGTGCCGAACTGCTCACAGTTTGAGTTGGGTCCATGCTGCGTATCTCGCCTGATTTAGATACATTTGATAAAGGAGGCCAGGGCCTGGGCGCCTTTAACCAACTGGCGTTGTGCAACTGCCTGAATTTTACCCCAGTTGCGAAGTAGTCCAAAATAGGCCTCTTTTCGTCTGTCGAGCCTGCATTCACTTAGGGCGGCCGACCTGTTGCAAATAGGGGTCCGGTAGGGCTTATTGAGGCCTTGTGCCTCGCATTCCCTCCTCCATACTTGCGAGTCCTCTGAGAAGTTCAATCTTCGATAATCTGGCGTTTTCCCTTCTGCAGAGACTTTTCATATTGGGCCACAGCCTGAGGAGCGGTCTGCATCAGTTCCTCCCTGGTAAACCATCGGTCCTCCTTGGGAACAGTGTGATGTTTAAACCGAACCCTGAACTGCAGCTTCGGTTTCGGAGGACGTCCCCTGCTTGTCGGTCTTGGAACTGGCATTTCCCTATGGTCAACTATGTCGTCGATGTCGACCTCTCCATCCATGGTTGGGGGCAGCATTGAGCGACGAGAGGGAAACTGATCTGT